TAGTATAAATTTCATTTCCTCCATGTATAAATGTAACCTACGTAGGCCTATTTTTTTAATGAAAATATAGATATCCGTCGACTACTGGACAAACCATAACAAACAGTAGAGTAACTCACATAAAACAAAAGAAAAGCAAAATATTGTCTGAATTAGAAAATACTGTATGAATTAAATATACTCGAATAATACCATGGAAGTAGGCCTATAACTTCATACAATACAACCGTACAATAAGCTTTGTTTTGTTGGCTGAGTACGTAGTGAGATTCTGCATTTATCTTAATTAACTCAAGCATGATACTTCCGTATTGGAATGGGCCTATAATAATTAACAATAATTAAAACGATATGTCCCGCGATACAGAAACCGACAACGATGGATTACGATGACGTAACACACTGTTATTAAGGGTAATTAAGCCATTAAACAAAAAAAACCGCTAATGACCCAATAATTATCTCCATGCTTAAATTTTATTTTCTGCCTTTTGTTAATTTCCGTGTAAGTCCAACGTTGTCCTTCATTTGGCAAAATTATCATCTATTGCTAAATAATGCATACAGTAGGCCTCATTGAATTTCCCCAATAGGCCTATTTATAAAGCTTGGGTTTGGTGTTGCATTAATTAATTTTCATACTGTAGTACTGTACCATGGAGAAAATATATACCCTGTACTATATATACTAGTAGTAGTCTGATTAGAACTATTCATTGTTAAATCACTTTTTTAACAGGGTCAGATCCAGAGATGTCCGAAAAAAAAGGGGGGGGGGGGAAACGGCGAATGAAATGTTCGTCAGATTAAAATTTATGTTGGTGCTTCTTTATTCGAGAAAGTTACGCATCATAGATGACTTTTATCATTCCGGTATCGATCAAGGCAAGAAAGTTAGAAAAAGTATCCAAAAGTCTGTCAAGGCAGAAGTTGATATATTTTATAAACTTTTTGTTTTTTAAATTGAAAGTTTTTGGCGTCTTTTCAAAATTTACATTATCATCATCAGCATCATCATCATCATTATTATTATTATTTTACGTTATTATTATTATTATTATTGTTATTATTATTATTATTATTATTATTATTATTATTATTATTATTATTATTATTATTATTATTATTATTATTATTATTTTACGTTATTATTATTTTACGGTATAAACTGGGTTTATTTAGTTGCGCAACTAACTGTGCCTGTACGTGACCAGCACCTGCGCCAATGGGCCCTGTGTAATTGATTGAGGGCCTTGGTACTCAATTTGCTGCAACCCGTATCTTGTCATCACTTCAACAATGTCTTCAAATGTAATGGTATAATATTGAAAACAATACTCGGTATCTCCGTTTTCATTTTGGTTTCTAATTGAACTTCAAGGTTTGCAGGAAATATACAGGATTAACGACCCATTTTCTTTTATAGAATCGGTCTTTAATTAAACCCGACAAATACTAAAATTTTTATTTCGAATTTCAATCAAGCAGGAAGTTCTCCATGCTTTAATTAAATATTTATTACACGTAAATTAAGTAAATGTGGACATGTATAGATAGGCCCTTATCATATTAACCAAATAATACCGGTAACATCTGTGATTCTTCATCTATTTATGTGTTATGTGTAACTTTAATTTACTGTCAGAGTGCTAAGGCCATGTAAAAAAAGAGTTGTTGATATATATGATATATATATATACATATATACATGCACACATATACTGTACATATACATATATGGCCTATATGCGAGACTAGTTACAATTGGGACAAAAAAGGGGATGGCGTATTTCTGGAACCATGTAACCTTCGTCAATCTGATCAATACAACTTGAGGGAGGTGTTTTGGTTGGTTTTTTTTTAATCAGTAATGTAACCACTCCATTGATACATAGTGCAAGGTCTCATGTAAATAGTGGCTGACTTTGCCGGATATTCTAGTGTAGCGTTTGATCAGGCGGAATTTACAAACAAACAATTGAAAGACAAAATTTTTTGAGCTTTGGCAAAAAAAAAAATTGGTCGGGTGATTTTGTTATTATTATTATTATTATCTATAGTACTAAATTATTTGTAATATTTATACATTGCCATTTTTATAATGGTTAATACTGTTCATTTATCTAGTTTCTCAATTCTAAGTTGTCTAAGCCATCTGCTGTTTATTAACAATAATTATCACCCTTTTTGTTTATATCAACTTGTTTATAAGCCCGGTGATACCCTTTGTTATTATAATTAAGTCATCAGGATTAACTCACATTTTAATTCCATCCCAACCCCACCCCGCCAACTACGATAAGCTAAAAGATAAAGAATTGAACCAATGACATAAAAATTTCATCTCTTTTTAACCTACAAAAAATAAAAACAAAACATGATAAAACACAATTTCTTACCCACACCCCCCCCCCCCAAAAC